CCTGCTGATGAAGACTTCACAAATTAAGCTGGATTGCCTTGCTATAAGAAGAAACAGATGTAGCTTCTCACAATTTAGTGTAACTCTGTCTCTCCTACATAATTCTGAACGCATTAAGAGTGGCTGTGAACACATGGTGTAAACCGTTTAAAAGGTTGGTTTCTAGCGAGCAGTATGTTTCCAAAGACACGTAACCAGTCTGTATAACTGTTGGTAATCCGGTAGATAAGGAAGTGGCTTGCAAAGGATCCGGCTGCCGGTTGCTTACCGTTCTTGGACATTTAAGTTATGATAGTGTATTTCAATAGTTAGGTTTTCTGGTATTTTTAGATACAGTCTTTCCATGACTGAAAGTCATACAAGGAATGATACAACTAAGAGTTTTGTAGAAGCCTTTCTTACAGCAATTATTAAGTATGGATTAGGATCGGTATGTGCTGGGATCACCGGATTCTCTCTTGGCTTATTGCCCTCACCAAAACACTTGCAAAACCACAGAAATAAAGTGCTGTTGCTTCTTGGCAAACCTTGCATGTTAGTAATAACCTCTAAAAGCTGGGCAAACTCAGAAGCAGGTTCCATGCTCTAGCGTCCTAAAACATTTCCAGGAATTCTTCCTGCTGGGATGGGAGAAATGAATGACAGTTGAACAAGATTATGCTTACTTTGGCGTGTTCATAAAGACTGACGTTGGGAGAGACGAAAGTATTTCAAATGCAGTTCCAACCATGCCCTAAGAAACTGTTGCTTCCAAGAAAATGGCTACCATAAGGCATGTTGGGACTGCCATTTTCCAGTAGCTAAGGAGTTTAATGTTTATGTAGTGCTGTGAATCCTACACAAAGGGTTTGATGAATCAGCCAAAAAAAAAAAGCTGACCTGTTGAAAATGTGCCTGAAAGGATGACGTACTGTTTACATTGGATCCCAGGAGCTTGTGTTGGGTTTTTTTTTTTGCCTTCTGTGTCCGCAAAGATAAGTTAAATAGTTTGTACAATAAGCCCTTCTGGGATCACTCCGAAGTGGTGCTATAAAAACCATGCTGTGCAGCAAAAGTGACAACAGTTCTGAACTCTTCTTCTCATCCCAGCAGCTTACACAAAGAATTGCATGGATTTCTTACTAATCACCAGTCCATAAATCATGACCGATAATCCTCTTGATAGGGAAACTGCTTACAAAAGGTCACATTACTGATTGATACTTAAACTCTTTGGGTGGATCAAATTCCAGGATTTCTTCAGTATCTCCTGAACAATAAAAACCAGTAAGTGGGTATGTATTTTTATCTTGTCAATATAAATACTCTTCATGTCTTTACTACTAATCTGAGCATGGACAACTCCTTTGAGTGTTAAAATCTCTCCATGTGCCTGTAGTTTTAAAGAACATAAAAGCTGAAAAGGCACTAGAGTTGAAATCTGAGGGCCAAGAGGAATGCTAATCTGAAAAAGATTAATGCCTATGTACATTTCTGATGTATTTCATTCAAAGTGTGTAAGAGAAAATGCAGCTGAGAACTGTAACTACACGGCAGTAAAACGGTGATGCAAAGTTTCAAAACAGGCTGTGTAACAGTAGTCCCCTAGTGTCTGGTGTTTCAGCGTGGCTAGTATTTTAAGTGTCTCTGGTTCAGCATCCCCTAAAGAGGCCTCAGTCTTCAGAGGAAACTGCTACACGTTTTGAAAATCAAGAACCTTTTAAGATTGCTCTAGTTCAGTATCCAAAAGCGACTGTCCAGTTTTGAGAGGCTGGCCACGCAGCCAGGTATTTGTATGGTAACATCTCATCTCCTAATTGTGTTGAGTGCCCTGGCAGCACATGCTTTTCTATTCACATTTTCTTTGAACACCCTTGGGACCCGAGTGCAACTTGGTGAACGCTGCTATACTAGCATACAAGATATCTCTGATCCGTAGTCCCACAACACAGATGTGTTTTGTCAAGCATGCCATGAAATAACACGCCTCATTCTCTCAGCCAGTCTTACACCAGCTTAATCATAGAAGGGCAGTTTTAGGTAAGTATCCTCAAATTGCTTCCTAGTTGATATTCTGTACGGTCCCATCTGACAATGCAAAATTTCTGGTTTGCAGGTGACGGCACTCCCCCTTCCTATGGTCTTCATTTCTTTCATCTTCAGGAATACCTCATTTGTAGCTTGAGCTGCATCTTTAAAACAAACAGAACAGAACTAAAGTATTATACATGGTTTCCATTAAATGTGTGTTTTCAGAAGATATGAGATGCAAAATAAATGCATCAAACAGAAATGAGTCATTTGCTGAGATCCAGATGAAGACACAGCCCATTGAAAGACAGCAAGTTGTGCAGGCGGCCACAAATAAAGAACAATGAATCTCTGAATGACTGAAATTAGCCTGATTCTTTCAGATGAAGTTATTCAAACAGCATAAATCTGTTAAATGTCATATTTTGAAGTTTGCTATAACAAAGGAGTTTTGTTCAGGGCCCAAAATGCAAGGTTTCTACAGAAGTCATTTCTTTCCTTTCATGTTTTTCTCTCTGCGATGGAGTTCTTTTCTGAAGAATAAGGGTAGTCCCTGGCCATGGGCAGAGGTCCACCCTAAGTAATATTTACATAGGAGATGCTGAAACATCTTTCTCTGTGGCTGCTTATTTACTGCTTTTTAGTATTTGTGCCAACCCATGTCAGCAATGAGGCTACCACGGTGCTAGATGCTAATGTACAAAATACTCTGGGACGTGAGATACCGAGGTTTAAGCCTTTGGTCCGG